TAAATATGAAAAATGATGTGACTCATGATTGAAAAAGAAAGTCATGTAAATTGAAAGTGCAAACACTTTACAGGAGAAATTTATGAGACCAAAAATAGGTAGGAAAATAAAAGTGAAAGTACATATGATTGCCTAAAACACATGATCGAATGAAACAAGTAAATAAAACCAATGAGAATGAGCAGCACTAAGAGTAACAGGGAAGTTTGACCCAGGCCATGTCGCTGAATTACTTGGGGAATTTGGTAATCATCATTAATATGTGAGCAGCATGATTAGTTAATAATTCCACTTTAAAAAATTCACGGAGTTACCCAGAAAAGGACAGAGTATATATGGAAGACATGCACAGCTTCTATATCATTGTGATACTGCTCTGAGTAATTAAACACCGTTTCCAGGAAAGATTTGTTCAGTTGTTCCTAGAGTGTGTGGACACATCCAGGACATTCAGCTTCACTGACTTCTCATTTGTTTTAGTTTTTACCATCTTTTAAATTGGGGGAAAATGATGTGTTATTCACTGATCTTTTCTTCTGAGATGTCACTCTAAGTCTGTTATCTTATTCAACAATAAGAAGATTCTGTTCTGATTTAGGCAATTACAATGCTTAGTAAACAAGAAAATTACCCTAGCAATGGAATTAGGTTTTGTGGACACAATCAGGTCATCCTTTTGAGGTATCTGCCTTTTCCTGCATTCCTAATAACCACTATTACTCTGATTACTTTTATACTGTCCCCATAAGTAGTGGAGTTCCCACTTAAGAAATGAAAAACAGAATTCAGAGGAAATGTAACCTTCTGAATTCTTGTACAAATTTCCTCTTCATTCAGTGCCATGCTAGCCTGGAAGAAATGATTTGTCAAATATTCTTCTCAATCAAACAGCAGTCATATTCCTTCAGAGAATTTTCACACTGAAAAAAGCTATTAGTTTTATGCCGACAGCACAGTCAATCCCGGTGTCTTTGGATCCTGAATTTTTCTGCAGAGTTCAGAAGAAACAAGACAAACATTTTCGCCAACGTCATCCATCCATCAAGTGGCAAAGCAGATGTGCGGATTTCAATGCAGATAGTTTCTGTCCAGCTATTTGCTCTCCTTCTGGATGTTGGTTTTGTTGTAGGGCTGGCTCTCCTCATAAACCTGAGATGGTTGCTAGCACCATGTAAGGTTATGCAGTTCTTCCTTGGCATCCACTGAAAAAAGAGTGGATATCTTTTTCTCAGGAAATTCGTAGTTGGGTATTTAGGTCACATGTGCATTCTTAAACAATCACTGTTGCCAACAGAAAACAATACATTAACTGGCTCACCTAGGATCCTATACTTGTAGAGTTTCACCCAAATACAAAGATCTTAAGAAAGAGAGGATTGGTTCCTCTTCCTCAAGAAAAATTATATCAATGTTGATGCGAGAGTGGGAATGCATGTTGAGAGGCAAACAATAAACACAACAAGATTATAAATCAGGTCTGCTGGCCCTCAATATTTTCTTTTCTTTGCCATATCAGAAAATTTTCTATGATTCAAAGCTCACTCAATAAATGCATTGCCCTTGGATAAAAGCCATTAGTAAAATAACCAATAAGTCATCCTCCTTTGAACCTTTAGCCATATTCATGTCTACCTACATTAGGTATATTTCTTTGCTTCCCACATTCCATCAGCGTGAAATACTTCTTGAGAGCCAGACATGTGCTAGGAAATATGGACATGAACAGATTTATAGGCTGTGATTTCCTCATCCCAACTCTTGAAGGATTAATGGGGATCATCCATGCAGACAATGGAGAAAGTCTTCAAAGAGAAGTGAAGATCAATGCTAACAAGATGATAACTAAAACAGCATAGAATGTTCAGAAGCCTCATTGCTTAACCCAAAAGTATGAGGGAGAAGAGGCAGTGATTGGTAGAAATTAGATCTTGTAGGATCTTGTATTACTGAAGCAAAAGCTGGAGATGTATTTTATCATGAATAGAGTACCAACAAAATAATTTTCATAGGTGAGCATCATTTTTGCTTTTACTTATAAATAAGAACTCCTTCTGGCAAGAGTGTGGCATATCACCTGGGAGCAGGAAGAATATATTGCCTTTAGTGAGGCAATGCTGAGCTTTTTACCAAGGTCCAGGCTAGAAATGAAGCCCAGATGAAGAACGCCAAAGTAGGTTTGTTGAGGTGAAAACAGATTCAAGTCCTCTTTAATACATAGGCTCTTAGGACTGGGAGAGAATTAAATGTAGTGGATGGAGTATTGAGAAGTGGGGGAGCATGACCTGGTTTTCTGACTTAGTATCGTAGTGTGTGATAGTGCATTAAGAGAAACAGAAATTGTACCTGAGGGAAAATGCTTGTAGAGGAAAAGAATCATTTTAAATATGAGGAAAAGAATCATTTTAAATATGATAAATTGGAAATGTATGAGACATTTCGGTGGGCAGGTCTAACAGGTAACTTACAATACACGTGTGCAGAGCCCTATAGAAGAATCTAGGTGTTCAGTGTCTGCTCCAGGGTCATCAGTATGTACCTGGCAGTCAAAACAATAAGAGTGGCTGAGATCATCCAGGGAGAGTGTTTTGAATGAGAAGCAAAGAGAAGACATTTGGATAACGCCCAATATTTAATGAATGAATTAAAGATACAGAGCCTGTCAAGGAGCTGAAGAATGAAAGGTCAGAGAAATAGGAGCATATTTGAGGAGAAGAGAGTGATCAGCAGAAAAATTGAATGAACAAACACCAAGAAAGCCAAAGCCAGCCATGTAGAAGAGCTTCACATTTGAAATTTTTTAAGAGGCATTCTTAAATGAACACTGTCCTTTATTTTGTTTTGAAATACGATTTATTGATTCTTTAATCACTCAATATTGCAACTGGGATTTCTTCAGAGGTCTCCAAGTCTCCTTCTCTATTTTCACAGATCAAAATTCTCAGGTGCGGAGTATGTCAGGAGCTACTCAAAGTTACACATTTAGCTGACAACTGTGTCAAGACTAAAATTTCCTGATCTTTATTTCAGTTCATCTGTAGAATTTTTAATAACTTATCCTCCAAACATAAACCATAAATTTTATTTATGTTTTAAGAGCACATACACCCCTTTACATCAAGTCCTTACGCTTTGCAACCCCTTCATTCTTATTAGGTATCAATTCTTCAGATGTCCCTCTCTTCAGTCATTCCTCTCTTTTCTTCTCAGCCTGGATATCGTAAATACCTGTCTTTTCTCTCTTGTCGTATAATTGAGTCCATCATCTTTTGTCGGTCATTTCTACCTGACCCTAAAACCTACACATCAGATCAATCCTATGGTCTCTCTTTTTAGATTCCATCCTTGTGGTGAACACAATGCCGTAATTATGTGAATTGGTCTAATTCTAATTCTCGCCATCTAAATCCTTCCTGAGCCCACAGTCCTGTACAGAAAATATGTTTCTACTCTGGGTCAGCATTTGACGTACCTTTTCTGTAGGGTTATACTTTCTCCGATTATTAACATTTCTTGACAAACTCTCCTTTCCTGTATATTCAGAATATACCTCACATGCTACCTCACAGAGACGGTCAAGACTGCCAGCTAGTAGCACATACAACTGTGGCCCTGTCATGCCTAAATCATGTCAATTTACATCCTCCCTCTTTTTTCCACTTTATTCTTTTTCTTTGTACAATGTCAATCTGTTTCAACCTTGGCCACTGCTTCAAACATCTGACATTGTCAGTCATTATTCTTCTCTTGTGGATTTCCAACATCTTACCCTCTACCAAATCTTTTCCCTTCATCAGTTACCATAATCAGGTTTTATTTTTAGATGATGTAAATTTCTATAATTTTATGTTAACCCTAGCTTATCCCTCTTTCCTCCTATTCTTCCTCTTAGAGTTGGGTATTTAGGTCACATGTACACTCTCAAACAATAACTGTTGCCAGCAGAAAATAATATATTAACAGGCAATTAATCAAGTATGAACTCCGAATTTCCAACAGAACGTCCTTGATACTCTGTGTATGTGTGCTTGTGTGTGTGCATGCGTGTGTGTGTGTGTGTGTGTCAAGACAAGTTTATGACAAGAGGGAGAGACTCACAGAAGGTCATCAAGAGTTAGAAATTTAAATGAGAATACACGTGAAAGGAATTTTCTAGGCCACACCTGCCAAAGTGTTTTCTGATAGTTCATGTGAAGAAATACCTGGAGGTTGTTGTCGTAAGTACACTACATGGTGTTCACCATTAATGTAGGTGGCATGAGTCTAAAAAAGGATGAAAACTGGTATTAACAGAGTGTTATACAGCAGGTACTGTGCTAAGGTCTTTATGAGGAAGGGTTAAATTAGTCATATAATAATATACTTAAAGCTTTAATTTCATGGTGGGATAGTTCACTCTCGTGTGATCATAATTGTTGTACAATCGTGAATTAAAGAACCTTTCAAGATGTTATTAATGAAATATCTTTACTGAATGAATTCTATCTGACCCTCCCAGTTAAAGGCTTATACACAAATTTTGCTAACCCTATTAGTGATGTGTTTCTGACTGCTGCCGTAACATTTATTTGGAGATAAGATGTGCTATATATTACAGATGGACTTTGGGAAGTGACTGAGGGTGACAACAATTAATTAACAAGCCTCCAAATGAAATTTTTATGCTGGAGAGTAACAAATGCGAATTTCTGAAACACAGCGGCGTGAAATAATGCAGTATGAATGGTTAAGGAAGCTTCCTAGGTTTTGAAATTCTATATTAAAAGATAAGTAATTTTCAATGAAAATAACATGCAGAGGTAAATACTGGGTAAAGCTGAATAATTAACAAATATTCCAGAGGGCCAGTAGTCTGTGTTGGTCAGAATGAAACTTTCACAGAGAGGAGAGTGAAAGTGAAGCTGATAAAGTAATGAAATAATTGATATCAGTGTCTCTAAAGTAAGACTGAGGAATTTGAGTGTTGTAGACAGTGAGGAGCCTCTGAAATCCTGAGAATGGATTCAGCGTAAGCAAAATCGTATTTTGGAAGCAGCCAGCTGGCATGAATGGGTGGTTGGAGAGAAGTCACTGGTGAGCAGGTCGTTGCAGGTGTTGGTCTTGGATACTGGTTTAGTGTGCCAGCAGGGGGGTTGCTGTGAGGGAATTTTGGAAGCCTGAATGAGCAGTTCTTAGCAACTACATGAGGGGATGAAGACATGTAAAAGAAAGTCAACTGTGACTCCAAGATTTCCCCGAATACTTATATCTTATTCCCAGGCTATTTTGAGTGTATCGAGGGTATATATTCTGAATATATCTTTGATATATTCAAGATTCCTCCTGAATAAGTGACACAGACCTGATGTCATTCAGCATTCGAGGTAAGATAACAATGCAACTGAATTCTCCTATAAAGAGCAAAAATATGTTTTAATTATTTTACAAGTACTCAACACGTTAAAGAACTTATCTAGAGTTTTCTGGAGACTCAAGTCACAGCTGTTGTTCATTTTATTAATTAGGTTTACATGAACCAACATAGAACTATGCTGCTTTATATGTATAATAGGTCCTATTTTTGAAATGGCTGATACAGCTTTTGTAAGTGATTTTTAAATTGAGAGAACTTGACATCTAGCTTTTAATAGTTAAAGGAATGAACTAGGATAGCTATTCAGGTCATTTGAATAATTTGTGCAAATTCTCATACTCATTATGTCATGTCTACACTCTTGCTGTTTCATATAACTCAGTCCTCATTTTGAATATCATGATTTAAATACTTATAAAATATTACCAAAGAAACCTTGAGGCTCTAAGTAATACAATAATTAGTGTCTCCCAATAGCCCAATAGAATACATAAATAATTTTCTCTCACTATTTCCTCCCAAGATTTTGAAACCTCAATCCAAGTTTTGAAAACGGACCTATACTAGGTACCAGAGATCTCTATCGGAGACACTAAGAGATTGTAAACTGCATCTAGAAAACATTAAACCAGTGTTCTAAATGGTTTGAGAGTCTTACTTTTATTCTGGGTCAGCCAACTTTAGATTCTTTTGTGAATGTGTCTTTTACCTGCACTTCTACTCTCCAAATAATTCCCTGTAACAGTTATTTTTTAATCTTTCATACTTTTATTCTACATCTAAAACCTTGACAGGCTTTGCTAAATTTATTTTAAAATTCTCATTTGTAATATTTATCAGAATAAATTAGTTTTGAGTAACTGTATCTTGATGTTTTTAAATATAGGTTTCTAACATGAGACTGAAATCTAAAATATTATCATCATCCAAAATAATCTGAAAAAATAAAATACAATATATACACACATACAATATAGTTACAGTGAATAAGATCTGGTATTTGATAGCAGAACAGGTGACTGCAGTCAACAATAATATATTGTACATTTTAATATAACTGAAAGAGTATAATTGGATTGTTTGTAACACAAAGAAAAAATAAATGTTTGTGATAATGGATATATGTCCCCACACAAAGTGCAGTGCCTATGCCTGTTATCCCAGCATTTTCAGAGGCCGAGGAGGGTGGATCACTTGAGGCCGGGAGCTCGAGACCAGCCTGGCCAACATGGTGAAACCCGTCTATACTAAAAATACAAAAATTAGCAGGGCGTGCTGGCGGGCGCCTGTAATCCCAGCTACTCGGGAGGCTGAGGCAAGAGAATCACTTGAACCCAGCAGGTGGAGGTGAGCAGATATTGTGCCACTGCACTCCAGTCTGGGTGACAGAGTGGGACTCTATCTTAACAATATATGTGTATAAACATGTATATACATATATATTATACACATGTATAAATATATGTATGTATGTCTTTATACATATAAATATATTTATAAACACACTGAGGGTCGTTGTGTAGCAAGTCTCCAAACTGAATCATTTTAGCTACCTTGTCATATAAAACCTCTAACATCACAGATTTAAAATTTCCTCCTGGGAAGTATTAATTAAGGAAATCCCAACTTCTTTTACAAATTAAAACCCATGTTCTCCATAAATTAATATCATAAAACATTTCTTGTTCGTGTCAAGTGGTCAGGTGTCTTTGGGGAGTTGAGAATTATCTGATATCTCTGTTCTTTTATATCAACTCCATAAGGATATCCCATTGCATTACTTGGTATGTGTTTCTGTATGCCTCTTTAGTGTAAAATTTAAAAGAAGGGGGAAGTTTAAGTAATATCAGGATTAATGAAATAATTTTCAAGTAAAATATATTTCCGTGGGGCTGCCAGTGACTCACCACAACTGGTGTGTATTTCTCATTCCCGTGAAAAGTTCTCCATTGGTCCACTGGCTGAGATCTTTGTGTCTTTTTCCCTTTTGGATCCAGGTGGAAGGAGTCCCCTCTTTGTGACACTGAAGTTTCCCAAGAAAAAAAATAGGAGTCACATGATGGTTCTTAAAGTAATAGACATCCTTTCTGCTCACATTTCCTTGGCAAACGCAAGTCACATGATCAAGCCTGATGTCATCAGGGTGGGAGGCGTGATCTTCCTATAGGACAGGGGAGCAAATACTTTCAATCCATCATAAAACCTGGATGAAATAGTAAGATATCTATTAAATCTGTGTTTCTTAAACACACACGACTCTGTCTATACAAGGACTCCTTTCTGCATTATTTGTAATGTTAATACATAAACACATGAAGGAGAGTGTGTTTCATTTTCATGATCAAATTTTACCTGTTGTCTTTTCTCTATTATCAAAATGCTGGTAGTCTTCTAATGATTTTTATTTATTTATTTATTTTTAGTTATTGAATAATGATAATGGTGTCTCTTTCAGATCTACAACTTTCTGAGTTTTAAAGTCATGGAGGAAAAACTATAATGAAATAAAATATAATTTTATCTAAAAATAAATAAATTTGAGGATAAATCCAAGCATGTTGTTCTTAACATGTAATGATTTTATTGATTTTGGTGTCTTACGAGTTTTAGGAGCATAGAAATATATCATACCTGTGTTTACTTTATTAAAGAATCATTTATTAGAACTTTCCAGACAGCATTTTTGGAGATGGTAATCTGAGATCATGGTGTCATGGTGTCCTTGCTAATCACTCTTAATAGGATATTTAAACCCCCTTTCCAGAAAGAAAACAAGGAGCTTCCAACTTCCCACCTACCCCATCACAAATCATCCTTCCCCTGTACTGTTGCAACACATCTACCCCGTCCAACACCTCTACCCCATCCTCCAAGGCCATTGTGTTAATAGTGTAACCACTTCTCTCATTTTTCTGCAGTTTTTCCATGTTCCTGTTAAGTGTGGTGTATTAGTCCTTTCTCATACTGCTGTAAATAAATACCCAAGACTGGATAATTCATAAAGAAAGGAGGTTTAATTGGCTTACGTTTCTGCAGCCTGTACAGGAAGTACGGTTGGGGCGGCCTCAGGAAACTTATCATGGCAGAAGGTGAAGGGAAAGCAGACACGTCTTACATAGTGGGAACAGGAAGGGTGCGTGAGGTGCCACACACATTTAAACAACCAGGTCTCCTGAGAACTCCATCATAAGACAGCACTAGTGGGATGGTGCTAAACCATTAGAAACCACCTCCATGATCCAGTCACCTCCCACCAGGCCTCATCTCCAACACTGAGGATTACAGTTCAGCATGAGATTTGGGTAGGGATACAGAGCCAAACCATATCATATGTCAATGTTGTTCTTGCCCTGAAAACAAGAACAAGGCCTAGCATGGTGGCTCACACCTGTAATCCCAGCACTTTGGGAGGCCAAGGCGGGTGAATCACGAGGTGAGGGGTTCAAGACCCGTCTGACCAACATGGTGAAACCCCGTCTCTACTAAAAGTACAAAATTAGCTAGGCATGGTGGTGCACGCCAGTAATCCCAGGTACTCAGGAGGCTGAGGCAGGAGAATCACCTGAACCTGGGAAGTAGAGATTGCAGTGAGCTGAGATCACATCACTGCATTACAGCCTAGGCAGCAGAGTGAGACTCCATCTCAAAAAAATAAAATAAAAAATAAAATAAAATAAAAAGAGCAGAACCTTCCCTTGATGCTCTATATTCATACATGTTTTCGGCTCTGTGGACCATATGGACTCTGTCACAATTACTCAACAATATGATTGCAATGAAAACAGCTATGACAATATAAAAATGAGTGAGCATAACTTTTTTCAATAAAACTCTATTCACAGAAACAGGTGCCCCAGTGGTGGCCCTTAGATTGCTGACTCCTCCACTATAGTCTTTCTGTTAACCTACCCCTTTCTGTTTCTTCAGACAATCTTCTTAGAAAAAGTTTCTATTTCTCATGGTTTCCAGGTTCTTACCTTTGTTTCATGCTTGAAAACTCTGCAATTTGACCTTTATGCCCAAAGTTTTCTGACAGCTTGGGGCAAGAGTGGCTTTCTGACTGAGTCAGAAGCATTATCTGTGACATTATCTTGGGAGTACGATTCCATTTGGCTCTCCTCACTTTAGACTTCTTACCCTGCTGATGCTCTCCTGTGTTCTGTGAAACTATCCGCCCTTGGTTCTCCTCCAGTATGTGATGTTTCTTCTCAGTGTCTTTATCTTTAAGAATGCCTTTAACTATAGGAGATTCAAAAACTCAACAATAACCAAAATAAACAAGATTTTTTTTTCAGATTTCAAACCTGACATCTGGAGTTAAGGAGTTCAAGGTTGGTGCAGGCGTTTGGCAATGTCATCAGAGGTCCAGGCATTTTCCTATTTCTGCTCTGTCTTCCATATCATTTTGCCTTTTGTCCTCGTGTTTGTTGCTATATGGTAACTTCAGGGTTGAAATGCCATGGACAATCCCCACGTGTCTAAGAAAAAAAAAAAAAAAGGACAAAATTAGTTTGTTTTATAAATTCTTTATTTAATGTATCAGAAAGGAAAAGTCTCCCTAAGACCCTGGCAGCCATATCTCCTTAGGTATCGTTGGCCTGAATTACGCCAGACCTGAACTTTTTCAGTTTAGTGCATGAGAGAAGCTGGGAAGGTTCGTATTTCTAACCAGGTGCACTGCCTGCTTCTCCAAATTCGGTTTTCGTTAGGAAGAAAGACAAGTTAATTGATATTGGCTAAACAATTAGCATGTCTCCCATAGTGAGCTGTGGAGGATATTTCTCCTCCGATGACTCGGTGTCAGTGTTCTAGGAATTTATCTTTCAACTTCTTTTTCTGTTGAACTACAGGCATTTCCTGTGCAGTCTCATTCGCTATCTTTGCATGACACATTAGGCGCTGATGCCCAAATTTTTCTGCCTCAGATTTTAGTATCCTATATCCGTCTCCTAGGGGGTTTCACCTTCTGGTTTTCCCACGTGTATTTCAAATAAAAGATAGTCTAAAGTAATGCTGTTTCTTTAACCTGCTAGTTCTCATGCATCTCTACCTTGATTGTAACTATAAAAACAATAATCAAGAAACTGAAACTCAGCTTCTCCTCTCACTCCTTCAACTGCTGTACTCAAACAACTGCCAAGTGCCATTTATAAAGTTTCTTAACATCCCTTGAGGCTATTAACATATTTTAATACCCGCTGTCATTCTCATGACTAGTGTCTTGGTTAAAACCTGTATTATTTCTCCCTCTGTCTACTGAAGATTACATTCTCACCTGGTTATTCTGCTTCCCATTAATACTGCTATCAGAGCAATCTCTCTAAAATAGAAACTATTTTTTCTAGGTTAAAGCCCTTCAATGGCTTGTCATAATTAACATCTGGTAACTCATACAGTCCCTAAACAATCTTATTTGTCCAACGGTATTGCTGAGGACTTCTAAATCTTTCACTCAGTTCAGACTCACTCTTACAGCTTTTTTGGTTTACAAAAGATATTTACCTGATATCTACCAGATATCTCATGCTTCAAGACTGAAATCATTACCTGCAAATACCCTCCATATCTATACTTTGTCCTTCATGTTCCCTTCTTTAGAAGATGTTTTGTTAACAACTCCATTCCTCCTAGAAGTTTTGTAGTAGTCATCCCTGATTTCCCCTCTGCTTCTTCACTAACCAGCCTCCTTTCTTCTAATCAGCCACAACATCCTATTGCTTCAATTCTCTTAATGCCTGTCAAATATACTCACTCGGCTTTACTGTGGTGATTACAGCCTTACTTCGGGCTCCTGTAATCACTTACCTAAAACATGATCAGATTATTTTAACCTTTTCCTTTTGTTCATTTAAAAAAATTATTCTAGAGGTTTTATTTTCTACAGTGGAACTAAGATTATATTATTCACTTCTTCAAATAATTCAATGTCTTACCATTACCCTTCAAATGAAGTCTAAACTTATTACTGTAGTTTAGAAAGCTTTTCCAGAGCTAGCCACATCTATCACAGATAATGCTGCAGGCAGCTTGTATCTGTGACTCTGTCATCACCTCCCTCTTTGTACTTATCACACTGAGGATGCTGGGAACTACCATGGCTTCCCCTGTTACCATTATCCTGGTCCTCACTGTAACTGTAATTGGCAGATTACATGTCCGAATCCTCCACTTTCATCACATTATGGACTTTCTGATCTCAACCATGATGTTCCTCCTATGCCTGGCTCTGTGTTTGGCAAATGGTAAGGGTCAGTGTGCCCTTCCATGCATGGATGAGTCATTGGGATGTCGCCTTTGCTCCTATCTCTCATCCCATCATCCCCCATCGCTGCACTTAACTCACTTGCATTTTCTCTTCCCTAAACAGCAGATTCAGTTTGGGTTTTGAGGTGTTCTATCAATGTATGCTAGCAGAGAATGCTAGCTTCTTCCCACAGCAAGAAAACAAGAAGAAATATCCGACCTTCTCCTCAGATGTAAACTATGAGCTTGGATTTCCTTCCTGTATAAGTTCTATCAGCTTCAATGCATGCATAGGTATCTCCAAAAAATTAAATAAAACTGCTAAAGGTTCTTCCTAAATGCTGCTTATCACTCCGTTTACCATGTCCCTAGTGCTAAACAACTATTTATAATCAGTTTTAAAAAATAGTTTTGTTCTCTCCATTCCCATTTTGGAGTTTCCTCCAGTTCCTCAAACTTTTTCATTTTGTATTTCATCCTGGCAATGCATGTAAACACCCTTTAATGTTATTAGTGGTATGTGTGTCTCTAAAGGCAACAGATACCCTTTCAGTCCCCAATTTATCAGAAGACTCATTGATATTTAACTTTCTGGACCATTCCAGATTTTATAAAATGTGACCATCATTTGACTTCAGTAACTACAATTGCATCATTTTGCTCTTGTTGCTTTGCCTCTGCTTCAGATTGATCTCTACCCTAAAATGTTGCTCCTTCACAAATCCATATTTAACTGACTGAATATGCAACATTTTCACTTAGTAATCTCCAGATACATCTCAAACTTAACATCTCCCAAACAAAATATCATAATTCTTGCCTTTACAAATGAAAATCTGTCACTACAAGTTACTTTTCAGTTTTAGAAAATCATAAGAAATGGAATTTTAGAATATGCATTCTCTTGTGTCAGGCTTTGAAGGACACAATGTTTTGTGTTCTAGTGCAATATTTTTACGATTTGTCCACGTTGCATGAGATTTGACCTTTTTTATTGCATAGTCATAATTTTTATACAGATATACCAACTGAATACAGTTATATAAAATTCATCTATAATTATTTTGTGGACTTATGTTTATATTTTTCTTAGGGAAATGTTTAAGAGTGGGGTTTTCTGGTCATGTGGTATGCATAAACTGAACTACCAAATGCAGAACTTTCTCCAAGCAACTATTGTTAGGGTCTGAGATTTTAACCTACTTATAAGCTAACATGTTAGTTTATTAATGCCTTATGGATGCAAGCAGAAGACACAAAACTTCCGAGTCAGAGAAACAGGAGTTTATAATCCACAGTAGAGCAACCATCATGAGCATCATGTTTGACCTGGCTTTTCTTATCGCCCACATCCCACAGGGATGACACAGAGGGCCCAGATGGATGACTGAAGATTACAGGAGAGGAACAGTGATCTTGGGGAACTCTTCATTTTAGAGTAACGGTGAGTAAGCCTAAACTTTGTCTTGGATAAAAACATTTCCTCATCCCTCAAAGTGGCTCATTGCAATCACAACCCTGAGAAATGGCCCAGGTTAAAAAATAATAAAAAGTGGGAGGTTTGATACTAGATAGTTTTCTAGATATTTTGAAGTATCTTAGAAAATGTGTGGTGTTAGGAGAGACCCATGGAGGACTGTTTCACAACAGCTGAGTAATTTTACATTCCCATTAGCAAAGAAAGGAAAATTATTTAATTTTGATAATTCTAGTAGGTGTATATTAACTTGAATTTCCTTGAAGAATGATGATACTGAATATCTTTCGTTTTCTTGCTTATTGAGCATTCATATGTCTCTTTTTGCAATGTGTATGTTCAAGAATTTTTTTTATTGGGTTACATCTTCTTATTTTTCAGTTTTAAGGGTTCTTTGCATATTATTAATATACATTTTTTCAGATATGTGCATTGCAAATATTTTTCTCTCACTCTGTGGCTTACATTTTCATGGTCTTAGAGGAACCTTCTGAAGAATAAAATTTTATCTTGGTGAAACGTAATTTTTTTATTTTTTAACACTTAGTGCTTTTGTATTCTAAGACATGTTTCCCTACCCCTACAAGTCTAAAATTTGTATCTCATGCTTTCTTTTACAAGATTTATAGTATTAATTTTGCTTTTTTCTGTCTGTTTAATATTGAGTTATTTTTGTGTATGGTGTGAGGTGGTATTCAGGTTTACCTTTTCCAGGTGAAATACACTTGTTCTACCAACATTAATTTAAAAGGCTGTCCTATTCCTGTTCATTTCTGATTGAATTATGTTTGTCCTTTCTTTCACTGAATTCTGACATTTCTCAAAAATCAAATAATAACATTTACATATTTCCAGTTTTGGGCTCTCTATAATGTTCTTTCTTTATGCCAATATCACACTGTCTTGAATGCTGAACATTTAAATTAAGTACTCTAGCTGGAAGTATTTGATGGGTTCCAATCCATTACACTTATTATTATTACTATTATAATTACAATAATTACTATTAATGGTTGTTTACAGCAGGTAGGCTAGTCCTGTAGCAGCCATTTTACCATAACTAATAGTGTGATATTCTGCTTACTTACAATTTGATATTTTTCTTCCTTTAGTAAATTGAAGGTTTCCAGAAATTCCTTACTATTTCTCCCATTGAAATAGGGAAGCAAATTCACTTCATCTTGAATATGGGCTCATTTTATTGACTCCTTGTTCAACAGAAGGTGGGACAAAAAAGGAAAATAAAAAACATTATGTTCTTGGACTTCCAAGACTAGGTCATACGAATCCTTGAAGCTTCTTTCCAGCTCTCTTGGAACACTCTCTCAGTGAGACCCGAGATGCCATGTAAGTCTAACAACTACCTCACTGTGGTACTGGGGAAGACACATGGAGGTGTTCTGATGGACAGCTCCTGCCTAGCCCAGAATTCCACACCCCCTGCCAAGATGCTATGAAAGTGAGAATAGTCCTCTTGGATCTTCCAGACCAGTTCTTCTGCCTGCTAAGTGTTAGTGTG